GGATGGTTTCTATTTTGTCTATGTTTTCTAAAATTTCTTCATACACATAATATACAAAAATGCTTATTGCAAGCATTAAGCTTCCCTTTATCTCTCTTCCTACTCCCTGACAACTCTCTCATCCCCATCCTCAGAGATAACTGTAATCATTATTAATAATTTGATATTTATCCTTCTATCCATTTTACACACATATACGTGCATTTGCACATGCACACACACAGAGCTTTTCTCACGAATATAAATAAGGTCATATATATTCATCTTTTAAAATCTTTTTAATTTTTTGTTTGTTTGTTTTGAGATGGAGTCTTGCTCTGTTGCCCACGCTGGAGTGCAGTGGTGCAATCTTGGCTCACTGCAGCCTCTGCCTCTGGGGTTCAGCGATTCTCCTGCCTCAGCCTCCCAAGTAGCTGGGACTACAGGCCTGCGCCACCATGCCCGGCTAATTTTTGTGTTTTTAGTAGAGACAGGGTTTTACCATGTTGGCCAGGCTGGTCTTGAACTTCTGACCTTAGGTGATTCACCCACCTTGGTCTCCCAAAGTGTTGGGATTACAGGCGTGAGCCACCAAGCCCAGCCTAAAATTTTGTTTTTTCAGTTAAGTGTCTCTAAGCTCTTCCCATGTGAGCATGTCTATGTCTACCTCACGGTTTTAAGCAGCTCCATAGTTTTTCCATGAATAGTTATGTCACAATATAGGGGAAGGAAATGAATACTCCCCTGTAGATAGATATTGAGGATATTTCCAATTTTCTGCCATTGGGAACATTTTGTGCAGAACATCCAGAAACATTTATATTTGTGAATGTGTGTGGGTATTTCTTTTAGAACATTTTGACTACAATTATACATTACTTTTATTATAAAAAAGTTACTGCACTTATCTTCAAACTCATCAAGTTGTATACACTAAATATGTACCGCTTTTTGTATGCCAGTCATATCTCAATAAAGTTATTTAAGAAAACATATAAACACTTGTTTTGGTAATTTTAAAAATAGTTAGCAGCCTAAAAGTAAGATTACTTGGGTACTCCAGAGGAGCAGGGGCTGTCAGGGCCTAGCACATACTTACACAGCAGGTGTTTAATGTCTGAAGAATGTATAAAGATCTTTCTTGTAAGTGACAAGTTTGTTAAGAACAGTGTCATTGTTCCTACCTTATATATGAAGTGTCTGAAGGATCTTAGAGATCAGGTCCAAGGCCTACAAGTTTATTTCTCAGCAAGAGCCTCAACATAGCAATTGATTCAGTATCGGTGAGTAATGAAGATGCCTATGATATGTCTTCCTCAATAAAACTAAGAGCAAGGAACCAAGTATGCAATATATTTGTCTTTCTAGGACCTATGCTAATGCCTAGCACCTAGTAAGATGCCAAGTAACTATTGGTTCTTTTTGGCAAAACAACATTCACTGTTTCCTTCGCAAACAAACACTGGTTTTTGTAAAAGAACCTACCACTATCTCTCAGGGAAGACGTGTCTATCATTGATCTAAGGGAAACATCATAATCCAACCTGCCTGCCAGGAATTGGTTTAGACTTCTGGAGGATCTTTGAGAATAGTTTCTTTATCTTGAAAGAAGAGACACTCTCTTTTTCCACTGGACACTGTCTATAACTGCAACTGCAATGTATTATTATGCATACACATTATCTTGACTGCAATATAATCATAAATATATAATCTGAAATAATCAGAGCTAAACAAAAATTTTCAAAGGAATTAACAGTAAGTGATTAATAGGCAAGGCCTGTTGGACTCACTAGCAGACACAAAATAGCAAAATGGTTTAAACAAAAACACACCGAAGGATAGGACCTCTATACACATTTGATAAAATGAATTAAAATGGGGAAAAATGTGATCTTGTGCCAGTTAAAAACGTCAGTCTGGGGATAAAAATAACTGAAGATAGTAGGTCAGAAAGATAAGAAGAACAGGGCCTTTGATGATAGTATTGAGTTGCTGAATTAACCCTGGGACTTCTTACCTTTAGACATTTTGTTACATAAGATAATAAGTGTCTTTATTATTTAAGCCTGGTGAGTATGTGGTGTTTTGGGGGTGGGGAAGAGTGATGTTATTTGCCATTATTTGGAACCAGAAACATGCTAACTGATAAATTATCCTGTTGGTTTACACGACAATGTCCTTGATGCCCCAGAAACATTTTCTAATTTTGACAGAGGAGAAAGGATGTCAGTAGGTGTTAACTAATGTGAAAAGAAGGTAGAATGGCTCATGTGTGTGATGGAGATGAGAACTGGGAATACAGAGAGGTATCTGATCTGGTAGTAATTTTTTCTTGCATGACTACTACATTGATAAGCACTGTGCTAAAATTTTTCAATTAATTATTTCATGCAATCTTCAAACCAACTTTATGAAATATGTACTATTATTTGTCCTACTTTACAACAGAAAGTGAAGCTTAGCAAGATGAAGTGACTTGTCTAAAGTCACTTACTCAAGCTAGTGTTTTTTGTTGTTGTTGTTTGTTTTTGTTTTGTTTCGGTTTTTTTTGAGATGGAGTCTCACTCTGTTGCCCAGGCTGAAGTGCAGTGGTACGATCTCGGTTTACTGCAACCTCCACCTCCCGGGTTCAAGTGATTCTCCTGCCTCAGCCTCCCGAGTAGCTGGGATTACAGGCACCCACCACCATGCCCGGCTAATTTTTTGTTTTTAGTAGAGACTGGGTTTCACCATGTTAGTCAGGTTGGACTCGAACTCCTGACCTCGTGATCCACCCGCCTTGGCCTCCCATAATGCTGGGATTACAGGCGTGAGCCACCGTGCCTGGCCCCCAAGTATTATCACAAGGATTTGAAACCAGATAGCATGGATGTGTCAGGAGTCTATGCTAATGGTCGCAAGTTCATAGGCACCATAAAGTTCAAAGCAAACGAATTGCTAACAACCCCAGTTTTTCTGTTTTGTTTTTGTTTGTTTGTTTGTCTGTTTGTGTTTTGAGACAGGATCTTGCTTTGTCTTCCAGGCTGGAGTGCAGTGGCACAATCTCAGCTCACTGCAACCTCTGCCTCCTGGGCTCAAGCAATCCTCCCAACTCTGCCTCCTGAGTAGCTCAGACCACAGGCGCATGCCTGGATAATTTTTGTATTTTTTGTAGAGAACAGGTTTCGCCATGTTGCCCAGGCTGGTCTCGAACTCCTGGTCTCAAGCAGTCTGTCCACCTCGGCCTCCCAAAGTGCTGGGATTACAGGCATGAGCCACTGTGCCCAGCCCCAGTTATTCTTTACATTTAAGCCAAAAACAAAAAATCACCCTTTCCCATGGATTCTCACAGAAAGATCACTATATAATATGAACAATATCCTCAGCAGACATCTTAAGCTGAAACTGTGTTGAGTTGTATCAGGATGCTTATTATTCGAAATGTCTCTTACTACGGAACTTGCTTCGACTGCATCCTCAGAGGCTGAAAATCTTTGATAGTTGAAGGAACGAAGGATGTGTCATCCCCAAATATGCCATATAATATATTGATTATTTCGAGTTGAAAACATTAAAGAAATTATAGTTTCAGAAAGGGTCAGTAAAACTGAGGTCTGACCTGATAAGGCCTCACACTTAATTTGCCTCGCTTGCTTTTAGTCCCTTGTTTCTAGTCAATTTTAAAACCTGCATAGCTAAAAGTCACGTAGCTGTACAATACATAACTAAATTCCACTTGCCTCCTTAGAGATAACTTCTCTGATAGGACACCATGGAAATGATTGCTTAAGTTATTTTTCAGGAACTTAGAATCAGTTCTTGTCCAGTTCAAGCCACCAGCCCTTCATCTGGGCCTGCATGAATGTCCAATGGGTGAACTTTTGACATCAGAAGGCCCAAAACTCCACCCTCAGGTCATGCTAACATCGTGATTTTGTGAACATGTGTTCTATGAACAGCCATGAAGCTTGACTATGCTTGCTCAGATTACCCATTGCCTGTTTTCCTTACCTCATCTTTTTGGGCACCTTGGACCACCTTCCTCCCCTAACCTATAAGCATCCCTAAAATTCCATCTTTGGAAAGGCAGATTTGAGGCCTGTTCTCCAGTCTCCTGGCCTGGTTGCCTTGTGAATATGCCCTTTCTCTACTGCAAAACTCATGCGCCTCAGTGATTGGCATACTGTGTGAAAGGCAAATGAACCTGGTTCCCTAACAGGAGCTGAACTGTCTCTTCCTACATGTAGCCAGCAATAAAGATTCCTCTAGGAGAGGTATGTTCTCCACGCCAGAGTGAGAAAATAACCCTTACCACCAGAGATTTGGAACTGGAGGTGGCATTTGGACTGGAATAAACATTCTTGCAAAGTAACCATTATCTTCCACCTGTTTTCCCACCCCCCATATATCTCCTAGGGGCTCCCCCAGAAATTTTTACCACCTTAGCCAGATTTTCTTTGTCCTGTCATTTCTTCTTTAATTTATCACTCTTTTTCTAAAAAGTATAAAAGCATCTTGCTTTGGCCACTTTCTTCAGGATTCAGTCTCTTAACATCCCCGTGTACATGTACAATTAATAAAATTTGTATACTTTTCTCTTGTTAATCTGCCTAGTGTCAATTTGGCTTCTAGATGCAGCTGATTAGCCCACTAAAAGCTAAAGGGTGTAGGGGGTTGAGGGTGATCTCTGCCTCCCTTACTGGTGAACTTGATTTTTGTAAACACTCAAAAGTCACTTAGGCTAGAGTTGGAGATGGTGATGGGGATTCACTGGGAAGGCCTCAAGAGAATGTTTTAAAGTAATGGAAAATTCCATATTTTGATTATGGTGTAAGGGCATTTCATTATATATAAATTAGATATCAATTTTTAAAAAAGCTCTCAGACCAAAGCTAGTCATTACAGCAAGAAAACAGGCATAGCAAATTTAAAACTTTGGAGAAATACATAGAATACTTGCATATGGTGATCCTGATTTGCTTTAAAAGTGGCATGATTAATGTATTTAGACGAAAATAATCTTCGTTTTTCTTTGCTTTTATTTACGATCAGGATAAAATAATTCTACGCTGCTGCCAAATAAAAGACGAGTTAAAATTAACTAACTGGATCCTTAACAACCATTCTAAGAGGCAGATATTATTATCCCACTTTATGCGTGAAGGCCCAGAACTCGGGCAAGGGCGGCGCACTCAGTACGCTCTTCCAAGCATCTGGGCACACCCGGTCCACTACAGCCCTACAGAGTCGGACGTGAGCACGGGCGAAGGCGTCAGCCGGGTCTGCGCGGGAGTCACTGACCACACCCGGGCGAGAGCCGGCTTTCCGGTGCCGCCACATTCCGGGGACCAGGCTCCGGGCCCTTCAGAGCATTTGGGGCGGGCGACGGAGGTCCTGTCCACTCTCGCTTGGGTGCAGAAGGGCGCGGCGGTGCCGGGAAGCCGCCTTGGAAGTTCCAAGATTAGCTCAAACTCCGCGCAGCCGAGCGCAGGTGCTGGGGCACTCGCCGCCTCCACGCAGACCTGGGGACAGTCCCGGAAGCCGGGGACCTGGCTCCGCCCCAGCCCGCGCCGTCGCCCACCGGCAGCAGCCAGGCCTCTTCCCTGGCCCCGGGAGCCCGCGCCGCGCCCTTCGCTCGCGCGTTCCAGTCCAGGCTACGAGCAGGTACCGCGCCCCGGCCCTCGGCCCCGCGCTCCCCTCCCCGGCCCCTGGCTGGCGGGGCCGTGAGGATTCCCAGTCTTGCAAAGCGCGAGAGATTGTCAACCGCCCCGTTTCTCTCCAAAGCCGGGCATGGCCCGGAAGCAGCTGATCAGATCTTAGTTCTGAATGTATGGTTCGGGTACGAGAATGTGACCCGTGAAAGTTCAGAGGAGTTAAGGAATTACAGCGTTCTGAAAGCGAACGTTAAAGGCAATTTACAAACGAAAAAAGATGCCGGTCTTCTTCCCCCATCCCAGCTTGCAACTCACCGAAACACACATTAGGGTGGAGCCAGAAGGAATTACGGAAAGTACAATGAGGACATTGAGATGGAGGGTATGGGGGGTTAACAGTTAGTCTTCAGAAGCCAAGAAGCGGAGCTAGTGTGTGAAAATCACAGCGCAGGACGGAACTTCAGGGAGCCTATACCTCCCCACTACCCCTCCAATTTACAGATGGGGAAACCGCGGTCCCGAGTGTCTGTTCTCCCACAACTCTGTCTCGGCAGAGTCAGGTCTAATAGCCCAGAACCTCAGTGCCTAGGCTTCACTGTAAATAATAAGCGACGTAAATAACATTTACAAATATCCTTTGTGAGCAGAAACAGCATTACCAGTAACTGGGTACTAGAACGCATCCGTCTTCGTCGTTTACTCCTTCTCCAGGGGCTCCCTAGCCTGCATTCCATGGACAACAGCAGTGCAGCTGCAGAAGCACTTCTGGAAGCCCCGTGACTTGAACTAGACCTTGAGTAAATAGGGTTTAGATAAATGGAGGGGAGGGAAAAGTTTCACCTGAGGGGAGAATGAGCTAGTCTGCCGGACCCTTATAAAAGTATTGGCCTGGATGGGATGGAGGGCTTTGACCTGAAAGTCACAGGGAGTAGGGAACCCTGGGGAATTGGCTGAAAGAGGGGGGCTCTTAGGAAATGCACCAACAGGGAAGCCAGCGCTTTACCAGGGATTTCATTCATGGTGGGTATATTATTAATCGAGATCCTAATTCTCTAGAAGCTGATCATTTCTAAGAGAAACAATATTTAAACATTGCTGTCGAAGGAAAGGTTGTGGGGATAAAATGTTCTAGTTCTAAGACAGAACACCCATTTTCCCTGGTTGTATATGAATAATACAAATACGTCAAAAATCAAGCTTACTATGTGCCAAGCACTCTAATAACTTATTTATTTATTTATTTATTTATTTATTTATTTTTTAATTTATTTGAGACAGAGTCTCGCTCTGTTTCCCAGGCTAGAGTGCAGTGGTGCAGTCTCGGCTCACTGCAGCCTCTGCCTCCTGGGTTCAAGCGATTCTCCTGCCTCAGCCTCCCTAGTAGCTGGAGTTACAGGCACGCACCACCATACTCAGCTAATTTTTGTATTTTTAGTAGAGATGGGGTTTCACCCTGTTGGCCAGGCTGGTCTCAATCTCCTGACCTCAGGTGATCCACCCACCTCGGCCTCCCAAAGTGCTGGGATTACAGGCGTGAGCCACCGTGTCCAGCCAACTTTATGAAATTTAATTTGTTTATTCCTAACAACAAATCCAGGAGGTTGTTACTTTTTAAAATCAGTGCCATTTTACAAATGTGGAGGCTGAGGCACCCAGAGGTTGCCCAAGGTAAGAAAATCTGGGCTGAGGCTGAGTGGCGTGATGCCAAGCATCCTGGCTTGGCTGGAATCAGAAGATTTGGGTTCCCGTACTTCCACTCCTCTTGTTTTGTGAATTTAGCTTATCTGAGCCTTCATTTTCTTATCTGTGAAATGCATACTGTAATCCCTCCCTACTAGTGAGACAATGAATGTGCAGGTGCTTTGTGAACTACACATTGTGACACCAATAGGAAGTGTAAAGCCTTGCACTTCTAAGGCCAAATCCCAGCTAAGAAGAGAAAATGATGAGCTGGGTTTGACTTGGAGAATTTAATGGGCTTACTACTCACCAAGAGGCAAGAGATACAGTTGTAGTTATAATGATAGACTTTGGAGTCAGATGAACCTATGTTAGGATCCCAGCCGTGCCACTTATTAGCTCTGTGACCTGAGACAAGTCACTGAACATTTCTGAAACTGCGTTATCTCCATGATCCTCCACTTGCTCATACATAAATTGGGCTTTACTTTCTTCATAGAGCAGTGAGGAGGATTACATGAGATGCCCCTGATACAATGCCTGCAAGTAGTGAGTGCTCAATAAAACATAGCTGGAGCCGTTGTTTTTTCTGATTCTTCTTCCTCCTCATCTTGTTTCCTTTGTCTTAATTTTCCCACGAAGACACCCTCTCCAGAGCCCAGCAAGTGTGAGGGACTGATGGAGAAGTATGTGGCTGCTATGGTGCTAAGTGCAGCTGGAGATTCCCTGGGATACTACAATGGGAAGTGGGAGTTCCTCCAGGATGGGGAGAAGATACACCGGCAGTTGGCCCAGCTGGGCGGCTTGGATGCCCTAGATGTGGGAAGGTGGAGAGTTAGTGATGACACAGTGATGCACTTGGCCACAGCAGAAGCTCTTGTGGAAGCTGGGAAAGCCCCTAAGTTGACTCAACTGTATTACCTCCTTGCTAAGCATTACCAAGATTGCATGGAAGACATGGATGGACGGGCACCAGGTGAGCACAGCCAGTGGGAGGTACAAGGAAGGCAAAGAATAAAACAGCCTCGAGGAAATCATTAACAATGTTGATGGAGATTTAAATAACAAAGAAACAATAGTGTTTCTAAATGTGATAAAAATAGAAACAACAGCGTGGTGGTGGCTCATACCTGTAATTCCAGCTCTTTGGGAAGCCAAGGTGAGAGAATCACTTGAGCCCAGGAGTTCAAGACCAGCCTGAGCAATATCCTGAGACCCTGTTTCTAGAATGAGGTAGCCAATCCCTGTTCTAGAGACAAGTACTAGTCCATGGCCTGTTAGGAACTGGGGCACACAGCAGGAAGTGAGCGATGGGCGAAGGAGCATCATCACCTGAGCTCTGCCTCCATCAGATCAGTGGCGCATTAGATTCTCATAGGAGCCTGAACCCTGTTGTGAACTGCACATGGGAGGGATCTAGATTGTGGGCTTCTTATGAGAATCTAATGTCTGATGATCTGTGGGGGAACAGTTTCGTCCCAAAAGCTCCCCCAACCAACCCCGTCCATGGAAAATTATCTTCTGTAAAACCGGTCACTGGTGCCAAAAAGGTTGGGGACTACCACTCCAGAAAAAAATTTTAAAACATTAGCCAGGTGTTGTGGCATATACCTGTAGTCCCAGCTACTTAGGAGGCTGAGGTAAGAGGATTGCTTGAGCCCAGGAGGTCGAGGCTGCAGTGAGCTGGGATCATGCCACTGCGTTCCAGCCTAAGTGACAGAGCAAGACCCTGACTCTAAAAAATAAAGAAATAAATAGAAAGAACCTAAATCTCTCATAATTAATTAAGCTGACACATTTGGAACCATTTAAAATTATTCAGGGTGACTGTAGTCAATAACAAGGTATTGTATATTTCAAAATAACCAAGAGAGTAAATTTCAAATGTCTCGCCACAAAAAATAAGTGAGGCAATAGATATGCTAATTAGCTTGATTTGATCATCCCACGTTGTTTACATATATCAAATCATCACATTATACCAAATAAATATATGTAATTATGATTTGTCAATTAACATTAATAAAAATTTAACATTTGCAAATAATATTTACTAATACTGAAAGGTATTATTATACACCAATAGGTTGTAAAATAATATGTATGTTATGAACCTACCGTCCTTTAAAAAATAGATCTTGTGGGGCCATGTGCTGTGGCTTACACCTGTAATCCCAACACTTTGAAAGGCCGAGGGGAGAGGATTGCTTGAGTCCAGGAGTTTGAGACCAGCCTGGTCAACATAGCAAAAGCCCATCTTAAAAAAAAATTTTTTTGAATGGCCAGTTGTAGTAGCAGGCACCCATAGTCCCAGCTCCTTGGGAGGCTGAGATGGGAGGCTTGCTTGAACCCAGGAGGTCCAGGCTGCAGTAAGCCATGATTGTACTACTACACTCCACCCTGGGTGACAGAGTGAATAAGACCCTGTCTCTAAAAAAATTTTTTTTCTTTTTTGAGATGGAGTCTCACTTTGTTGCCCAGGCTGGAGTGCAGTGGCACAATCTCGGCTCACTGCAACCTCTGCCTCCCAGGTTCAAGCGATTCTCCTGCCCCAGCCTCCCGTGTAGCTGGGATTACAGGCATGCACCACCATGCCTGGCTAATTTTTGTATTTTTAGTAGAGGTGGGGTTTCACCACGTTGGCCAGGCTGGTCTCCAACTCCTGACCTCAGTTGATCCATCTGCCTCAGCCTCCCGAAGTGGTGGGATTACAGGCATGAGTCACCATGCCCGGCCAAAAAAAAATTTTTTTTTTAAATAGATATGTATTTCTGTGTTGAGAAAGGTCTTGAAGAACATGTACAAAGATTACTAATTATATTTGGGTAATGGGAGTATTTATAGTTTTTTATTTTTACTTATTTGTATTTCTAAGTTTTCTGTGATGAATAAGTAAAAAGAAAAATGTGTATTTTTTATTTTTAAAGAAAAATGCGGCTGGGCACGGTGGCTCACGCCTGTAATCCCAGCACTTTGGGAGGCCAAGGCGCGCAGATCACCTGAGGTCAGGAGAGACTAGCCTGACCAACGTGGTGAAACTCCGTCTCTACTAAAAATAAAAAAATTAGCTGGGCGTGATGGTGCACGCCTGTAATCCCAGCTACCCAGGAGGCTGAGGCAGGAGAATCGCTTGAACCCTGGAGGCAGAGGTTGCAGTGAGCCAAGATGGCGCCATTGGACTCCAGCCTGGGCTACAGAGTGAGACCTCATCTCAAGAAAAAGAAAAAAAAAAATGCAAATGGTTTTCTAGAGACTTCTGGCCACAGGTTTGCTCACAAGTGGTTCTTGCCCACTTCGGCAACTTGTCACAGCCACTTGGGCCACCAGGTGATTTTCTCTGGCCCATCTGACCTACCTCTCCTATTTGAGGCTACTAGGGCTGCCATAACAAAATGGCATAGATTGAGTGGCTGAAGCAAGGAAATTTATCTCTCACAGCTCTGGAAGCTGGAAATCCAAGTCAGGGTGTTGACAGGCTTGCTTTCTTCTGAGGCCTCTCTCCTTGGCTTGCAGACGGCTGCCTCCTCGCTGTGTCTTCACATGGTCTTTCCTCTGTGTGCATGCATCCCTGGTGTTTGTGTGTGTCCGCATTCCTCTTCATATAAGGACACCAGGTAGATTAGATTAGGGCCTACCCTAAAGGCCACATTTTAGCTTAATCACCTCTTTAAAGGCGGCCCTATCTCCAAATCGAGGTACTTAGAGCTATAGTGTTTGAATTGGGGGGACTCAATTCAGCACATAACACCTCCTGATGAAAGCTTCCCACCACCATACCAAGGGGTCCTTGTCACCCCAAAGATTGGCTTGAGATGCCAATCTCTGTTTATTCTTTCTTGGCATCTGATAGCTCATCAGTTTAGCAAGTGGAAAGTTTTTTTTGTCCACCTGTGCCATCCATGAACATTGTTGTGAATACACTGACTAGTAAAGGAACAGCAGTGCCACACTCCGTCGTATGTTGCTGCCATTGCTTGGCTCGCATGCGTATTCACAGGTCTCCAGTAGGACAGGTCAGGGCGACAAGCCTGCTTACGTCACTGCCATGAGGGGACAGCCGAGGCCCAGAGGTTCAGTGACTCACCAAAGACACATTGTTTCCCTGAATCCGCTGCTCCTCATCTGAGCCCAGGGCTTCACTCTAGAATTTTTGGCCTCTTTCTCTCTTTTTGATATTCAGGAACTCCAGTTGTGAGGTTTTTGTTTTTTGTTTTTTGGGTTTTTCTTTTGAGATGGAGTCTCACTCTGTTGCCCAGGCCGGGGTGCAGTGGCGCGATCTAGACTCACTGCAACCTCTGCCTCCCAGGTTCAAGCGATTTTCCTGCCTCAGCCTCCCAAATAGCTGGGACTACAGGCACGTGCCACCACGCCCGGCTAATTTTTTGTATTTGTAGTAGAGACGGAGTTTCACCGTGTTAGCCAGGATGGTCTCAATCTGCTGACCTTGTGATCTGCCTGCCTTGATCTCCCAAAGTGCTGGGATTACAGGCGTGAGCCACTGCTCCCGGCCTAATTGTAACGTTCTTACTGGACTCCATAAGGGATTGGGCTTTGGAGTCCGATGGATTTTACGCAGCCATTAACTAGCTGATTATGTGATTTGGAAGAAGTTTCTTAAGCTCTGAGTTTAAAAGACTTATTTACTTAAAAAAGAGAATAATATACTTACTTCTTAAATTTGTTGTGATGTCTCAGTAATGACTGGTAAAGATTCCAAGCATCCCTATATGAGTCTGTTGCTTTTGTTAGCATTATCTTGCCAAGGGTTATACATAAAGAAAGGCACATTGTTGGGTGGGGTTTGGAGTTTTGGGGCATTCATCATATTTTTTGGCTCTCCCTCTCCATCAAAAATACTTGGAGACAGAGTTTAGTTATTTATTCCTGCTGGGGCCTTTGCTTTGGTTATGCTAACCCCCATGCCTTATCCGACTCTTCCCCAGGTAATGCCTCGATGCACAACGCCATGCAGCTGAAGCCTGGCAAGCCCAATGGCTGGAGAATTCCCTTCAACAGCCATGAGGGCGGCTGTGGGGCTGCCATGCGGGCCATGTGCATCGGTCTCAGGTTCCCACACCATAGCCAGCTGGACACGCTGATCCAAGTGAGCATCGAGAGCGGTCGGATGACCCACCACCACCCAACAGGCTACCTGGGGGCCCTTGCGTCCGCTCTTTTTACAGCCTATGCTGTGAATGCCAGACCACCCTTGCAGTGGGGAAAAGGACTGATGGAGCTGCTACCAGAAGCTAAAAAGTACATTGTCCAATCAGGCTACTTTGTAGAGGAAAATCTTCAACACTGGTGAGTCTGTAGGTGCATGCCCTGCTCAAACATGGTTGAATCTGTGTGTGCACATCCACCTGCACATATATATCTTGTATTCAGAGATCACAGCAACCCTCGTGGTTTTCACCACCCAGCCCCCTTTCTACCAATCTGCTAAGGATTTCAAGGTCCTTTCCAGTAATGATTGTACAAAGTAGCCAAGTGGGTACCTCAATGAATAGGGCAGCTGTGGTGTTTCCTTCTTACACAGGGATCCTGTCGTTTTTATGGCTATCCTATGCTGCCATGAATTTTCATGCCTATTTCCTACTTTCCTGGAATTTGCTTTTTCAGTGTTGTCTTGATACGTACACAAATAATATTTTGAAATCCTTGGTTAAAATGCCAGAGACAGGTTTTTCCACTAGCTCACTAATAAGTGGTAAGGCCACATCTTCCCCTTCTTGTGAATTCACTTCACACTCTCTTTCTTAGAATAAAAAGAGGCTTTCTGCTGAAGTCACCCACAGTTGTGATGTCCTGAAGTTCCCCCTTGAAAGGTCATTGCTCTCGGCCCTCCCAGGAAAAACAAACCTTTATTTCCTACCCTTTAACATGATATGTATCTCTTTATTTAGCAACAGGATCAGTGCCTTATTTATGTAGATCCTTATGAGAAATGTATTGAATGAATGGTACTTATATAGAAATAATTTTAATGTTTAAATAGTTTAAGATATTACTGCAAGAAGTCGAAGTTATGTTGGATTTTCCTCTGTTCACACATCCATCTGGTGCTTTTTGTTATGACTTTTCACCTTATTTTTTTCAACTGACTCTAGATTTTTTCCTTTCTACAGGTCCTACTTCCAAACCAAATGGGAAAATTACCTAAAACTTAGAGGGATTTTGGATGGAGAATCAGCCCCTACCTTCCCCGAGCCCTTCGGTGTGAAGGAGAGGGATCAGTTCTACACCTCCCTGAGCTACTCTGGCTGGGGTGGCAGCAGTGGGCATGATGCCCCCATGATTGCCTACGATGCTGTCCTTGCCGCGGGAGACTCCTGGAAGGAGCTTGCCCACCGAGCCTTTTTCCATGGTGGAGACAGTGATTCTACAGCTGCCATTGCTGGCTGCTGGTGGGGAGTTATGTACGGTTTTAAAGGAGTGAGTCCCTCCAACTATGAGAAACTAGAATACAGAAACCGGCTGGAAGAGACAGCTAGGGCTTTATATTCTCTTGGGTCAAAAGAAGACACTGTAATTTCCCTTTAGGAGACGTGATGTTCATTTCTGATGGATTCTTCTTTTGTGTATTTCCTTTTCTGCTATTTCTTTTCACTTTTTCCAAAGTCAAGAGTCTTAACCTTGTACTCAGGGAATTTTGAGATAACAAGTCCCTTGGGCACCTTGAGCTCAGTGTTTTCAGGCTCATCCTTTTCTTCCAGAATCTATCCCTGTTCTTACACTGAAGAGTCTTTTCACTCAGTTGATGGAGTCGGTGTCTCCCAACCAAAAAATCTCATAACCTCATATTTGAGTCTTCATTTTCATCATGTACTTGTTCTAAAAGTTTTTTCTGTTTGTCTCAAGTTGGGTTCCCACAAAGTGGACTTTGAGACAAAGATCAGAATGCAAGCAGTTTATCTGGGAGATGATTCCAGGAAATACCGATATGAGAATGCGGAAATGAAACCAGGAAGGGAAAGGAGCTAGTACCGGGTATGTCAATGAGCAGGTTTCCACTGTGAGCAGTTGGCACTCTGCCATCTGAGTCTTCTGCCTAAAGCAGTCCTCAGAACTATCCCATTTGAAGAGCAAGCAAACCTGGGGTATCTATCCACTGACTTCCATCTGACACTGCTTGAGGACCACTGCCAGGGGTGCTAATCCCTGGTACTTCTTGGCTTGCCCTTTGAACAAACCAAACCTGAGTGTCTTCAGGTAAAGACTCAGAGATACTTGCAGGGGCAAGCTGTAAGGGGCATGGGAACAGTGAGGGATATATGTGGGGTCCTAACAATATCTGCTAGGCCGGTCTACCTCCTAAATATACTCTAAATCTATCACCTCTATTACCTTCTTGCCCTGAGGATTTTTCAGCTGGATTTCTGCAAGCCAAGCTACTCCAGTCTGGGACATGCTGCTCTGAGCTGCTCTCAGTACTCTCCTCATCATGGCAGTTAACACGTTACCAATTTTGTTATTATCTATTTGCTTGTTTGTATTATTTCTAGACAGAACCTAGCACAGTGCTTGGGCAGCCAATAGGCATTAATCAGTATCTATTGAGTGTTATGAACTAGCCTCCTAGCTTGTGCTTCCCTTATTACCCTCCAGAGTTATGTTTACAAATAACAAATTGACCATGCTAAACTAATCATGGTCTAATCATGTTCTTCATTTCTTGATGCTCTTCCCAATCCTTGTCTACCTGATAATAAATTCTTACTTGTCCTTCCAGACCCAACTCAGATAGATAGAGCTTCCTAGGTGAAACCTGCTCTGATTGTTCAGGCACTTGGCCACCTTCTCTTCACTCCTCCCACAACCTTCTGTCCTGGCCTTGTCACTGCATCAATCCTGTTGTGTGGTGCTGTGTGTCTTCTGCGTCAGTCCTAGGCACAGGCTGCCCAGCAGATGTCCACCTGGGAAATGAGATGCCATCATCACGTTCATTTGGTCACCCTCAGTCCAGCCTGTGCCTGGACTGGAGAGTAAGTGGGCTTACTCTCATTTGGCCTATTCTCAGGGGTGGGAAGGAAGAGCGTCTCCTCCTTCTCCTTTTGAGAAAACCACAAAACTATGACTCATGATTTTTCCTTTGTGAAATCCCTGGTTTTCAGCTGGGAGTGGTGGGGAAATGAGGTCTGATGATAGCTGTCCTGCCACCTTCTGGTTTGTCCCATAGGAATGTTTTTCGAGGTCCTTCCAGTCTTTTTAGAATGTGGTGGAGGAGGGTTGTGTGTGTCGCAGGGGGTAGGGGTTAGGGGATGCAGGGAGGATCTTAGCATTTGTTGTTTTCTAGTGCAGGGCTTTAGCCACAATTGTAAACAAGAGGAAAACGCTCTTTAGGGATCCTATTAGATTTGCTTTGCCGATTGTCACTCTTCCTTACAGGCACATTTCAAAAAGAGGTTAGACTTTCAGACTTCTTTTTTCTCAAACCTCAAAACCTCCACCCAAACTTCACTCTCAGCTGGTGACTTTGCTTCCTTGTGTGTGTGTGTGTGTGTCAGAGAAAGAGAGAGAGAGAGAAGGGAGGATGAAAACGAATGGGGGAAAGAGATGAACTTTATGCATAACGTTAGGGTAAATCAATAAAGATGGTCTGACACATTGTATGAATTTGCCATTCTTATCAAGTTAATCTATGTGTATTGCACAATACAAGAGGTCATATGTGACCTTTCAAATGATAGTTTTTGGACCTGCTGTGTGATGCCTGTTTCCTTTGCTTTCTTTGTTAGCCAAGATTGCTACATGTTGTCTAGAAGTCTTGGCAATAGTTGTTTTTTGTTTGCTTGTTTGTTTGTCGTTTTAGATCTACAAAATTAGCATTGACCTCATTCACCCTTCTTCAAGATTCTCCAACAACATTCTTCATTTATTCTTCTTTCTGTACCTCTCTGGAGTGAGTAAACTTGCATCTTTTTAAAACAGCCACTGAGCTACTAGGACATTGAGGGGAAGGAATGGGGACTAACTTCACAATCCAACCGGCCTCCCGGGCCAGCTCCTCAACAATGGCTGCCTGGGGTCAGGCTGAGGACCCACAGGTTATTTAGATGGGACTGGAGGGCAGCCTACCATCATTTGTTTTACTCTTTGGGCTTGGGGGTTGGAAAGAGTAACTCCTAGGGAGTAGGGGAGGCTCTTTCCATTTGGGGAAGGATAAAGAAGAGAGGAAGAGAATATTGCTGTGTGTCAGATCATTCACAACAACCCATGAATAGATGAAGAAATTGGGCTTAGAGAGGTTGCCATCTGTTCAAAGTCACTCAGGATGAGATGGAGCTGCGGTTTAAAACCAGGTCTGTTTCTCGTACAAAGGATGGAACCAAACCAAGGTGCTTTTCCCAGTCTCATGCAGCACTCACACTTCTGACACCCAAAGGTGTGGGAGTTGTTTCTCCATGCACCAAGCAAGTGTCTAACAGACGCCAAGTGGGTGTCCTCTAATTCAATTCTGATGGTATCTTCTGGATGATAGCATCAGATTCCACAATTTAAGGCACAAGACTGCCCCTTCTCACCCATACCACTGCTTCAGATGTTGACCACAAGTCCCAGGTTCTGGCCTGTGCTTCTGACCAACCAGCTGTAAATCAGAGTTCCCACAAAACCCTACTCAGGTTTGATTAATTTGATGGAGTGGCTCACAGAACTCAGGAAAACACTTAGTTTACTGGTTTGTTAAAAGATATTACAAAGGCTACAAATGTCTAGCCAGTTGGAAGAGATGCACAGGGCAAAGCATGTGGGAAGGGGTGTGGAGCTTCAGTGACCTCTCCAGGTATACCACCCTTTAGGAAGCTCCATGGGTTCAGCTGTCCAAACCCAGTTCTTTTAGGTTTTTATAGAGGTTTATTGTGTTGGCATGATTGACTAAACCATTGGCCATTCGGAATCAACTCAGCCTTTAAGCCCCCACCCCTCCCTGCGGGTCATGAGGTGGGTGGGGACAAAAGTTGCAACCCCCTAATCACATGATAGATACCCCTGGCAACAAGTCCCCATCCAGAGGCTATCCAGGAGCCCACCAAAAAGTCCTCTCACTAGAACAAAAGATGCTCCTCTCACTCGGGAAATATCAAGGGATTTAAGAGTTCTGTGCCAGGAACCAGGGTCAAAGACTAAATATTTGAACAAAAGATTAGCACCCCTATCTACAAGGGTTTTAGCAGCTCTGCATCAGAAACTCAGGGGTAGAGACCAAATACATATTTCTTACTATGTCATCATAGCACAGTCTTTAAAGCCCATTTTCTTTGTACACATTCTACTACACTCTAATTGTTAGCTGTTTAAGTATTAGAAAATCATTCCTTAGGTCAAAATGGTATAATATGGTGACAGTGTAAGCCTGTGCTGTCTTCACCTTCCTACAATTAAGTGGTGATGTCAACAGGAAAGACTAGGTGTGGGTTTGAGATCCACATTTGGCAGCAGGGGTAGGGAAGGGACGGAGTGAACCTAGGAAAAATTGTGAAGTGGGCAGAGAATCTTCACTCTCCTCTCAGGCTTTTTCCCCTTCTCAGGCAGTTCCCCCACCTCTGCACTCATTTTGCCCCTTAGCCACAGTGGAGACCCCACCCAATGCTTCGGACATGATCTAGACTTATCTGTTCACACTGTGGTTGGTTATATCTGTCTCCACTTGCCAAGGTCCTTCACTTTTGTGGGCCTTGAGGTCATTGTCTCTACCAACTGGTGGCCTCAGGCAAGTGACCCCTCTCAGGGTATTTGAGCTTGGAGCCCCTGGACTTTCAATACTAACACCCAGAGAACATGAGTCTAAAATGGGGTTGTCTGACTTGGAGATAAGAGCAAAGAAAGAATCTTTTGGTCTCCCAATCTACAGAGTTGTGGATAGAAACATGTACTTACTAATAGAGAGCCATGCTTCAAAGCGGTGTTTCTCATCATTTTGGCTGGTATATGGACAACCCTCCTCCCCATTGTCAATGTCAGCAGGTGAAAGTGACACAGTCCATCTGTCGGCCCACTTCAGGGGCTGGCTGTGTCTTCTTACTATATCTTCCTTCTAAAATACACTTTCTATTGGAGACTGCTCTAGTGGAGGTGACATTCTGGGGTGAGGTGGACTCTCTACTGTCCCTTATTCCACCAGCCCTGAATCCAGGAGACCTAAGAGGAGGGTGCTCTGAAGGTGTGAATTTTTTCCTTGTTGCAGGAACATGGTAATTGCTATGTAATTAGGACTAAGAAAAGGCATGCTCTGTGATCTTTTCCAGAGAGCCACCATTGAAACCTGGCTCTGCCACCAGATGCCTCCAAGCCTCAGGTTGCTCAGGACTAATGTAAGTTGAGGCTAATAATGCCCACCTTGAGAGTATGGTGAGAATGAGAGTAGGTAGCATGAATTCAGCAGAAAGGATAAGGACCTGTTGCTGGTGGTAGTTTTTCAAATTCAAATCCATGCTATGCCACTTTGTGCAGCCTTGGGCAAGTTATTAAACCTTGCACTGCCTGTTTCTGCACATGGAAAATGGAGTTAATAATAGTATCTACCTTGTGGGATTGTTGTACATTTTACACAGCATAGTATCTAGCATATAATAAGCAGTTAAACAAAAAATGGAAAAAGATATGTTAACATATACTATCTACATATTACTGGTGGCTTTTAAAAAGTGTATCTAGGGTCTTCTTTTTACCAAGCTGTCATGAAATGAGAAACCCAGGGAAATTCCCAGACAACCACCTCCAGCCAGTTTCTTCTGTCATGTGGGAAACTTTTGACACAACCCCGGGTGCTCACAGGGCCTTCTTTCCCTTCAACCTTCTCACAATACTCCCTTGCCATAATGCACACCCAAAGATAAGCCCTTAAAGTTCACAATTTTACTTTGAAGTTAAGTGATCTCAGAGGATAAACACGAAACCATTGAATTTTAGTATCAAACTGTCATTTTAAAGCTACAAATAATTTTCAGCCCTCTCAACAGTTGCAAGCTTGGCATCACCGGCAGGGTACACAGCTTCTCTGTTCTGGCAAAACCACAAGTGACCTTTTTGTCTGGGCTAATATAAAGCCGGTCTCTACTTATTCTTTCTGGAAAAACAGAGACAGAATATAGATGTTTTTAAATGAAGGCTAAAATAATGTGGTTTGTTGTATTAGGGGCATGAAATGTTCTCTTTCTCCGTAAGGTTTTAGACTGTCCTGTGTGAAAAGCAGGTTCACTGTGATTTGTCTGAGTCTTGGGAGACAGAATACCTATGCACACAATAAGTTACAGGAATCTGGCTTGTTACTTACAGCTAGGCAGCAGACAACAGAAGCCTGAAATTCATGTGAGCCAGTCCCCCAAGGCTTAGGAAAGCTGCCTGGGGCACACGGAGCCTCATCTGCACATGCCCACTTGCACCACAGCTGAGGACCCCCAGAAAGGCAGCCCATCCTGGGTTTTATACTCAAGGGAAACAAGAATCACTGAGCTAAAGCATTGAAGGATATCGTGTAGTGGGGGGACTGGAACAGGTCCCAGGATGTTGGATTCCCAGCACATTCTACAGTTATTCTTGAGAACTATAAGCCAGAAAACTGAAAGAACTGGGCCCAGTCCAAGACCTTGAAAACTGTCCTTCACTATACTTGTATTTTATGACTTGTTCTGAGAAGGTGCATGTGTGTGTGTGTGCGTGCGTGCATGTACCCATGTTCACATGCAGGGCATATAGGACAGCAGGAGTGGAGAGACTCCATAATCGTGCTCTTCACCTCAAATTAGAATCTGGCAAAAGATTGGACTTTCTGAAAATCAGGTAGGATAAGGGCTTCAGCCATTTTGGGTTGAGCACTAAAATTTCATGACACATTCTATCTGATGGAATTCTGTGCAACCTTAAAAGAAGGATGAGGCAATTCCAAAGTATTTGTTTAGTGTGAAACTCAAGGTTCAAAAGAGTTTGTGTAAGAATAGGCGTGGTGGCTTACACCTAGAGTCTGAGCACTTTGGGAGGCAAAAGCGGGAAGATGACTTAAGCCCAGGAGTTCAAGACCAGCCTGGGCAACATGGCAAAACCCTGTCTCTACAAAAAAAAAAAAAAAAGAAGGAAAGAAAGAAAGAAAGAAAAATTAGGTGGCCATGGTGGTGTGTGCCTGTACCAGCCACCTGGGAGGCCAAGGTGGGAGAATTACTTGAGCTCAGGAAGCCAAGGCTGCGGTGAGCCATGATTGCACTGCTACACTTCAGCCTGGGTGACAGAGCAAGACACTGTCAAAAAAGAAAAAAAAAAGTAGTAGGTCAAAAGAAGGGTGTAAAAATCTAAAAAGCATGAGATAGAATATCTTTAGGAGGATGTGCAAGGAAACAATGACATTGCCTGATTTCTGTAGGATCTGGGAAACCTGGGGGAAGGAGATGGAGATTTATTTTTAACCGTGTTTTTGTATTTTTTTAAAAAGTGTATATGTGTAGAGCTATTAAAAAATGCATGTTAGGCCAGGTATGGTGGCTCACACCTCTAATCTCAATGCTTTGAAGTTGAGATGGGAAGATTGCTTGAGACCAGAAGTTTGAGATCAGCGTGAGCAATACAGCGAGACCTCTGTCTCTACAAAAAGATTTTTAAAAATTAGCCAGGAATGGTGGTAGGCGCCTGTACTCCAGGCTATTTGAGAGGCTGAGGTGGGAGGATCACTTGAGGCCAGGAGGTTGAGGCTGCAGTGAGCTGAGATTATACCATTACACTCCAGCCTGGGTGATAGAGCAAGACCCTGTCTCAAAAACAAACAAACAAACAAATAAATAAATAAATAAAATTAGCTGGGTGTGGTAGTGTGCACCTGTAGTCTCAGCTACTCAGGAGTCCAAGGCAGGAGGACTGCTTGAGCTCAAGAGGTTGAGGCTGTGGTGAGCCATTATCACACCACTGCATTTCAGAATTTTGAACATTGATTCCCTGGTCACTTGCTCCTTGTGTGCCTGGATCCTAGGCAAATAGAACCATCTGACTCCACTTTAAAATGGGTGAGTAGGACCCCCTCTCTAAAAGAGGGGTGGGGACTGACCAGCACACCCTACCAGTTGAACAATGCCTTCCCCTAGCAAATATTTATTGACCACTGACTGTGTAGCAAGTACTGTGTTAGGTACTGGGATATCTCAGTGAGCAAAACAGGCCAGGACTCTGCCCTTCTGAGGCTGACGTTCTCCTTGGGGGAGACAGACAGCATACACTGAATATGAACTGTGGCTCTCTCAGTGTCTCCAGGTAGAAGGGTCTCATCCTCACCTTCTAAAACATGTAATCTCACTTTTCAGAAGGACGAGGTTTAGTCCAGTAAAACTCTTGCATATCTTGTTTCACCTTGGCCCTCTCAAGCAGTGTCCCTAGGCCCCTGGCCTATCTGAGCTTCAGTTTCTCCACTGGTGAAATGGACATGGCTGTTGTAAGTATTAACAGAAGACTAGCGGTTCTAGCAATCACCCGAGGAGCCTGCTGGAGCTGCAGAGTCCTGGGCCCTGTTCCAAAGATTCTCATTCTGTGTGTCTGGAGTGGGTCCAGCAGTCTGTCCCAAGTCAATTGGAAGGTTGTGAGGCAGGTGGTTCTGGAAGGGACCACTCTGACCCTGCTCGGAGAGCACTGTGCTAGATGTTGGATGTGAAAGAAAGTGAAAGTGCTCTCTCAGTGTCAGCTGTGTTCATGCCAGGCACAAGGGCACCCGGGATTAACTATCTCTGGCCACGGTGTGGGCGGCCAGGAAAACAGCCCTCAGGTCTCCTGCTGTAGGGAAAATGATTGACTGACAGCTCCAGCTGCTGCCTTCTGAATCTACCTCTGTCTTTGTGCTGAGGTTGACCCCAGCTAATGACTAAGCAGGATGTGGCTGCTAATGCAGGCTCATTTCTACAAAACACAGATCTGCTGTCACAAAAGACTTTGGCCTGAGGAGTCCCCTGAGGAGTCCCCATTGGCCTGGTCAGAATATTCTAGAAACTGTGCTGCAGCCCGAGATTCTTCCTATGTAATCCTCTGTTTCCTGCCTGTTCTCTTTCACAGGTGTCAGATGTGCACCACAACCTAAAGGCTCTTCCTGCCTTCTCTAGCACCTTTTTTTTTTTTTTTTTTTTGAGACGGAGTCTCGCTGTGTCTCCCAGGCTGGAGTGCAGTGGCGTGATCTCGGCTCACTGCAAGCTCCGCCTCCCGGGTTCACGCCATTCTCCCGCCTCAGCCTCCCAAGTAGCTGAGACTACAGGCGCCCGCCACCACGCCCGGCTAGTTTTTTGTATTTTTAGTAGAGACGGGGTTTCACCATGTTAGCCAGGATAGTCTCGATCTCCTGACCTCGTGATCCACCCACCTCGGCCTCCCAAAGTGCTGGGATTACAGGCTTGAGCCACCGTGCCCGGCCTCTAGCACCTTTTATTCTTTACAGGTGTTAGTCCGATAAATCTCTTGCATATCTTGTCTTATCTTGGCATCTTCTTCTCCGAGGACCTGAACTCATACACTCGACTTCATCTCTAACATCAAGACTGCTTTCAGTAGTGACCTCTGCTGTGCCCTACTTATTGCCACACTCCTTCCTGGTTGCAGCAACACTTGAGCAGTGAGATCATGCGCACAAGGGGAAGTAAGGGCTAGCCCCTCCAAAATAATCGTATCCTGTGTTCAGCCATGATGGCATGGTCCCAGTGCCTCTTCAGGAGTTGTTGCTGTAGAGTATCATTGCTCAGAGCATGGATTCTGAGGCTGGCTCATCCTGCTTTAAATCACAGCTCTGCATGATCTCAGGCAAATGACTTAAATTCTCTGTGCCCTATCAGCTGTGTAAAACACAAATGTTTGTACTTAATACACATTACTTAACTTCTGTCACAGAGAAGTAATTCGTACTTATCTGTGATTATTAACTGTGTAATTATCACAGTTAAGTAATTTTTACTTAATACAGTAGTTATTAATACTCTTTGATAATACTCACCTCAGAGAGTTATTGTTCAGAAAAGATGATCCTGGCCCTGCTGGTGGGCTGTCTGCCTAACAGCAATGTGTTATGATTTAGGGAATGGCAGACAAGTGCCCCGCCCTCTGCCCCAGCCCCACTGACTGAAATAGTTCTGTGTGGTTTCTGCCACTCCTTTGGGTGGAGAGGCCATATGGTGCTGGAACCACCTTGGTTCCAGGCCCGGCCCTGCCACTTCCACCAATGTGATCTCTATAGGTCATTTTCTTTTCTAATATTCAGTTTCTTTGTGAATTCAGGAAGCTGAACATCTCCAAAGTTGGACTTGACTTCTAGCCCCAAGATTCTACAAAATGATAGTATTCTCCAGAGGGAAACTTTATCTTCTTCCCTTCTGTCCATTAAATGGACACTTAAAATATATTATTATTTCAGTCCTGTGCTAGGCACTGGGGATTCAAAAATGAAAAGAGAAAGCCTTTGCTCTCAAGTCACTCAGAATCTTCTAGGGAGACACACATGTCCACAGATAATTCCAACACGCTGAGGGGTTTCTGGTCACCCAGAGATGAAGGACTTCTGCCTCGGTTATTAGTAACATCCTATCATGGGAAGTGGGAGAGGTGCAGGAAATAGTTTCCTGATCATGTTTGGCTCAAAGAGGAAGGACAGTGTGTTTCAATGCACTCTGGTTAACAAAAAAGAAAGTGTATTTATTTTCATTGAGAAGAAGAAACCGAAAACTCTGGCATTTAAATAAATAAGGAAGAATTTATTTTTCCTTTTCAGGTCATGAGGCTAGTTAATGATTAGTGAAATCCACGTGGGTGTTTTCTGAGAGGCTGGGTTATGTGATCTCTTTGGCTTTAGGGAATTACTCCATACCAGCTCTGAGATTTCCAGCTCAGCAATGCCCCCAGGTCCCTGGAAAAGCCGCTTCTGGGTGGGGGGCCTACTTTTGTGGCTCAGCGTTGGAAGTTCAGGTAAGCCAGGGCTCAGGCCTTGGGAGGAACTTATTTCAGCCAATGATCATGTATCTCCAACTACTTATGCAGTGCCAACTTTTGGAAGGTCCCCTAAAAGCCTTTTGCCTCTTCTGAGGTGAATTTAAAAGAGTGGGGGGGGGAAAGAAAAACCCTTTTATCATAATCAGAATGATGGTAAACAGGTCACAGAACCTGAACTTTCCCTGGTTATCCGACTCATTTTTTCTAAAACCCACATAAAAAAAAACCCCTTTCACCTTGCACAAGCCAGGACCCACTGTAAGAAAATAAAATTTGGTTAATTCTAAGATATTCATTTTTCATTCCATAAATATCCACCATTCTAAGATATATTTAATTTTAAAATCTAAGTTTTCCAAACTAATAACGATTTTGTCACTGAGATTGTTAGATGTCCTTTCTAATCCGGCAACCTAACTCAAGTGGTTCGTCATCGCAGCTGGGTGATGGGAACTAGTCCCTGCTAACCCCAGATGCCCCTAGGAAAACTTCCCTCAGATGCCAATTTGCATTTATCTTTCCCCAGTAAAGAACTGACGCACTGATCCCACTTGCCTAACATAGCAAATTAACCTGCTCTGCTTTGGGTTCTCAGAAGTTCTCAGGAGACTTCTTCTCACTCTGGTGGTGACCTCACCCTTAGAAAAATCCCCTCCCTCTGCTCCCAACGCAGGCTGCTTTTCTTTCTTCTCTGCCGGACATTTAATTCTCATTCCCTGGCTCTAGAATATGTCATTGCTTCTGCCTGGAGTTGCTCACATCACCTTTGGATTGATTTCTGTTCTTTGCATCTTCCAAGGGGGCTTCTGTATTCCTGTCTCCCTTGTATTCTGTATTATTTTTCTGCTCAACACCCCTCCCTGCTACAAAGTTCCACTTAGGTGACTGCATGCTCTCCTTGCAGTCATGGGTGGTTTCTCAGAGGTGCTGTTGAGCTCTGTATGTGCTTTCTCCTACCTCAATTATTTGTTCCTAAAAGGCGAGGATTTGAGGTTTCTGTCTCTTTTAGCATACTTAGCGCTGTGCTCTGTATACCGCAGATGTCCAGTGAATGTTGCTGCATTGCTGCTTAGAGGAGGCAATGGGTTGAGCTGATGGGAAGTAGGCTCTGTCTGGGTCAGGCTAACCCTGACTGGAATCCTGGCTCTGTTTCTTTGTAGCTATGTGACCTTGAGGAAGTGGCTTTCTTTACCTGTAGTTGGAGATGATCCTTACCAGATAGGAATGCTGTAAGGACTGAATGAGATCATCTGTGCACAGGGTCTGACTTTTGCAGTTGCTTATTCCCTTATGATTTTATTATTAGCAAATGGTTGTCTAGGCTGATGGAAGTGGAGGGAGCAGGGCTGTCATGAGCCACCTTGGAGAGAAGGTGGGAGGTATCACCTGGGAGAGCTGTGGGTCCCGTTCTGAGAAGTGGGCTTGGCAGGCCCACTTTGTCCCTGCTGAGGAGCCCCAGGCCTCCTTAGGGGCTGGAAGGCATTTGCTAGTTGTCCTGATTTGAAGGTTGAGGAGTGGGAGGACTAATAGTAAATAGGCATCAAACTCTTTTTGGAAGCTCATCTGTCCGGTAAGCCTGGGGTCTCTGTCACACAGATAAGAGAAGCTCAGAAATTCAGAACCAGGTAGCAGGGTTAGGGTCAGGGCAGAAGCTGATCAGGTTCCATCCACATATGTAGGAACCACTCTAGATGCTCTGGGCAGGAAGTGGGCTTATGAAAACATGTTAGCAGGACCTGGGTGTTTCCTTGCCCTGTCCTCTTGCCTTTGTCTCTGGTGTCTTTCTTTTCACACTTACCCAGTGAGGTATTCTCTATTTCCCATTTGCTTCTCTTCCTTTCCCACTGTCAACAGCAACAATATTTATTAAGTTAATGTTCCTTATTCTTACTTTTAGCAGTGCTATCTCAGAAAGTAAGTAAGTTGATGGATAGGCAGAGATAGAAGTGTGTCTGTGTGTGTGTGTGTGTGTGTGTGTGTGTGGCTGGCAGGGATAGAAATATGCCAAAGGGAAAAGGAAAAAGGATATAATGTCTTCAGACAGCCTAGATGAAGTAGGTGGAAATAAAGAGGATGCCGGATGCAGAGAGCTCAAGGTAAAGGAAAGGAAGAGCTCAAATGATCGGGAGGGAGGAGGTTCAGGAGGTATCCAGGTGGCTGCTGTCACACAAGGGCAGTAGCTGACCCACATGGGCCTCTTGGAAGTTCAGCCTCCACTCACTTTCCTGACTGTGTGCCCACACAATCTTTCATGGCAACCCCAGTCACACCCAGCTTTTCCTTGGACTATGGAGCTTGAGATTGTTGAGCTCCTTGATCAACCTGGCCCTTGAGCTTCCAGGCCGGCTCAGGCGTCCTCTCCTCCAGATGGGTGCACAAGTCTTCCTCCATCTGGGGTAGATGGCCTTTCTGTGTGTTCTCTCAGTACCTATGTTTCCTGGTCACAGATCTTACATCCCTATTTGCTATGGGGCTTCTGGCTTATTTTCCCCTTCTCCGCTAGACTTTGAGCTCCCAAAGGACAGTTATGGCTGGCGTCTTCTTCATCCTGGAATCCCCAGAGCCTCACCTAGGCCCTGACACACAGGACACATTCAATAAGCCAAAGGTCTTGGTAACTGAGAAGAAAGACATTGAGCGGGCTGCAGTCCTCATCTCTACTTCCTGACATTAGGGCAGATTGATTAAATGACACTCATCCTGAAACAATTCAGCCAAAGAAGGGTTCCAGAGGTTGGCCCATTTCAAAGACACTCCTGGCTGCTGATGCCTCAATCCACAGGTCATCTGATAGCACAGCTCTGTCTGTGGGGAGCCCAGGGCTCAAGGGGGTGGCAGGAAGTTCAGGGGCCCGTAGTGCTGAGCTGGCGGCAGAGACAGCTGAGTAGAAGCAGACTGTGACACCAGCCTCTCCAAGGCCAGCCTGGACCTGAAGGTGGTACTGCACCCTGCATGCATGGCAGAGCCACTCTCAAGTCAGCTACTGGGAGGGGGCCTCCGCCCTCCTCCCCTCCTGCAGTGTCCTCCCGAGGAGCCTGGAGAAGGGCACCCGCTTCCCGACACATGCACCAATGGTTCCTCTGTCATCTCCACATTTGATAAAGTGTCTGATATGGTATTGTGCCAACTCTGTCACTGCCAGAGCACCCATCCGTTCTTGGTCCAGGTCACACAATCAAAACTGTTTTAGCAAAATAACACTTCTATGAAACAAAAGCACATAGGGGATACCAATCTACAGAACACAGCTGAGAGAGGTGCAGGTGGCAGCGTAGAGGAGCACATTTCCAGCATTTACAGATCACAGAGGCCACCCATGGGAACCACGAGCATCCCAGGAGGGTGAAGGGAGTTCTGTCATATATGTCTGAGAGTCACTTCCCATTATGGTAACATGGGTGTTACCAGGCTTTACTCACCCTTCTCTAACACTTCTTCAGTGTCAAAGATTGAAGAACAGAGAACTATAGGCTCTTTTCAGACTCAGACAAGCCAGTATTTCATTCTTCACCCCTCCTTTCTATTGTTTGTAAACCTCTGGTCAGCCTGGCCAGATACTCAGCTGTCACTGTTCTTTGGTTGGAGTGGTGGCTAGGTAGAGTCAGTATCTGAATTTGCTTCCCTATTTTATCAGTTTCAAATATTGGCAATTTTCTTCCCTCCCTTTTCAAACTTTATAACTTTTATCCCATTGTATTGTCTTGTTTCAGTGGCTAGGACTAGGATCTCTAGCACAATATTTAACAGAAGCAGTGGTAGCAGACATTTCTCATCTGTTCCCAGTTCTAGATGGAATACTTCTAATGTTTCCCGGTAAATCTAATCTTTACTATAGGCTTTTAGTAGATATCCTTTCTTATGTTAAAGAGTGTTGAATTTTGTCAAGCGTTCTTTTTTTCTGCTCATCCATTGAGATGAGCATATGATTTTTCTTCTTTAGTTTGTTCATATGTGAATTGCATTAGTACTTTTTCTAATGTTAAAATAAACTTTAATTCTTTGCAAAGAATTGACCCAGCAAACCCTGCTGGGCCATGATATACTTTGTGGTCTTGTTATCCCGGATGGATTTAGATTTGCTGATATCTTATCTTAGATTTCTGTTTATGTTCATACACGAAAGTAGCCTTTAGTTTTTCTTCTCGCTTGTCCTTGTGCAGTTTTGGTATGTTGGATATTCTCATAGAATGAACTGGAATCCTGTCTCCCATTTTCTATTCCTGGAACAGCATGTGTAAGCTAGGGATTGCTGGATTTATAGAATTCCTCTGTAAAACTCTCAGGCTTCTTAGACTTTTTTGAGGGATAGTTTTGAAACTAGTGTTTCAATTCCTTTATGCTATAGTTTTACATTTGATTTTCTGTTTTTCCTTTCTTGACTAAGTTTTGGTAAGTTACATTTTTCTAGGAAATTATCCATTTTCTAGCAAAATATCAGTATTTTCAGTTTTGGGGTACATATAAACTTTTTTATGGTTTAAGGAAATCTACTGTCTGTATTTATATCCCCTTTTTATTCCTGATATTGTTTACTTGTACCTTCCCTTTTTTCTCTTATTCTGTCTTATCAAAAGTACATCTAGCTCATTATTCTTTTTCAAGAGCTAGTTTTGAGTACTGGCTCTTCGTGTGTGACAGCTACTTCTTTAGGCAGTAGAGTGAATAAAATGGATTTTAAAAATCCCTGCTTTGTTCAAAAGTACATTCTAATGTGGACTGACCACCAATAGACAATAGTATAATAACTTGGCAAATTCCATAGTAGATTAGAAGGTGATGATTGCTAACAAATAGACCAGGGTAAGGAAGATTGAGAGAAATGAGGTGAGGAACACAAGCAGGTTACAACTGAAACAGGATGTGAGAATAGAGAAGAGAGCACTTGACAAGCAAAGACTTGAAGGAGGGGAAGGAACTGCCATGTAGATACATAAGGGAAGTACATTACAGGCAGAAGGAATGGCCAGGCAAAGACCCTCAGGCAGGAAGCCATCTAGAGTGAGGAAGGGCCAGGAGAATAACTGGCTGCAAAAGTGAGTGATTTTAGCATAAGGCAAAGGACTCTTGGAGTGGGGTGGATTAGCTCAGTTAGGGCCTTACAGTCCATTGTTAGGACTTCAGGTTTCTATCTGAGTGAAAAGGCTTGGACACTTTTGCACAGAGATGTAACGTGACTCGACTGACTTAAAGAAAAATCTTGACTGCTGTGTTGCAAATAGACTGAAGGGGCCAAAAGAGAGGGCAAGAAACGCAGTTGCAGGCTATGGCAGTGGTTGTGAGAGATGATGATGGCTTGGACCAAGGTGGTGAGAAGGGTTAGATTCCGAAGATTTCATTCTGATGTTCAAGCTAACAGAACTTACCAATTGTATGTGGGAAGTGAGAGACAGGGAAGAGTCAAAGACATCCCAGGCAACTTTGCAAAGCCTGAGAAATTGTAATGACTAGTTGCTACCAATGTTGCTCATATTTCCTTATTTTCTATTTCTTCCATTTCAACTATTACCTTTATATTTCTTTCCTTATATTTTATTTGGGACTACTGTGGTATTCTTTTCTGAGTTAAAATATTAACTTATTTAATCTAAGTCTTTCCCTTTTCCCCCCTAACATTTGCATGTAAGGTTATACATTTTTCCCTATTAAAAGGTAAACTTAGGCGCATTAAAATTTTAAAGAGATTATTTGAACAAACAGTGATTCATGGTTTGGGCAGCTTCACATTGCCAGTGGCTCAGGGCTCCACCAAAGGGGTATGAGGAAGAAATTTTATAAGGTGCCTATGGAGCAAGGCAAAGAAAATATTTGATTGATTGAAGTGGAGCAGTACCTTAAGGTCCCTAGGTTAGTTGGCAGCTTCTGAGTGCTAAAGCTTAAGCCTCATAGGACATAGCTGTTCACTATGAGTTGAGGTTTGGTGAGCTTCTATAGGAACTCAAGCACTAGAGCTGCCTCAGTCTAATGGCTTCCCAAGTAATTATTTTAACAACCCAAGTGCTGTTTTAGCCACTCTTTGCAAGTTTTGATATGTGTTGATTTTATTGTCATTTAGTTTTTAACATTCTGTAGTTTTCATTGTGATTATTCTTTAACCCATACATTCCTTAAAGGGTTAAAAGGGTGTTTTTCTGTGGGTAGGAGTGTAAATTAGTATAGCCACTATGGAGAATAGGATGGAGGCTCCTCAGAAAACTAAAGATAGAACTTCCATATGATCCAGCAATTCCACTACTGGGTATATATCCAAAAGAAAGGAAAGGAAGTCAGTATATCAAAGAGATATCTGCACTTTCATGTTTATTTCAGCACTGTTCACAATAGCCAAGATATAGAACCAACCAACCTAAGAACCCAGCAACAGATGAATGAATAAAAAAAAGAAGACGTGGTATATATACACAAAGGAATACTATTCAGCCTTTAAAAAGAAGGAAATCCCGTCATTTGCAGCAACGTGGATGGAACTGGAGGCCATTATGTTAAGTGAAATAAACCAAGAACAGAAAGACAAATATCACGTTTTCACACATATGCAGGAGCTAAAAAGGTGGATTCATGATGATAGAGAGTAGTAGATTGTGGCTCCCAGAGGCTGAGAAGGGGAGAGGAGTTGGGAATGAAGGGGAGAAAAGAATATATGTGTATTTATTACCACTGAACTGTACACTTAAAAAAGGTAAAGATGATAATTTATATATTTTTTTACCTGAATATAAAAAATTTTTAAAAATCTTGAACAAGTTTCAGCAATATATGTCCATGAGGAATTGTGCCCAGGAGCTTCTCTTTGTGTGGGCTGGTAAAAATACCACAGGCACATGGGATGGGCTTGTCTTATTGGAAAAAATGGGAGGGGGTGTTTTTACATTTCCAAATGTATATTAAAATAATTTTTGTTATTGATTTCTAGTTTTATTACATTGTATTTAGATGATAGTGATCCTTTGGTGATTATTTGGGCCTGCTTTGTGACATATTATGGGTATTTAAAAGGACTCAGACTCTCTGATGGATGCAGGCTTCCCTATGTGAACAACAGAGCAGATTGACTCATTAATGTGGTTCACGTCTCATGCTGAAGCACAGTCCTTTCATCTTTTCTTTAAAGAGCCAAACGCTGGGGGAGGCTGATAAAAGGATGGAGTCAGGTATTAGCTCTCTCATGTGCTGTGGGAGTTCAAGCCGCAGGCTGAAGAGCTTAGGGCTCGCACTCTCAGAGTGGGCTTCTTCCCAGGAGCCTCCAAACCTGTCTGCTTGGTCTGGCTCTGCAAGGGGATTGGGGATAAAGTCTGGGGCTCAGAAGCAGTGATGGGGAAACCTCTAGTCTACCTCAGCGATGCTCCAGAAGGCCTTGTGGCTTGAGGTATTCTCCACACTCATAGCACCATATACCAGAGCATCCCAGATCCACACCCCGGTTGTATATGGGCTCCCAGTTACCTCTGATAGCAGATGATCACTCCAGAAACCTAAAGTTACGTCTTCCTTGACAAAGGGGCCCGCACAAACCAAAGTCTGCAATCCGGACCTCTCCTCTGAACCTCTGATTCTGTGAATCACTTTGTCTGGTGGCAGCAACGCTGTGTGGGGCTCTGTTCTGTGGGTCAGCGTGCACCCTGCTGCTCCTGCCAGTCTCCCTGTGGGATGCATGGAAGTCAGGGACCACACCTCTGCATCACAGAAGTGGGGATCAGGGTGGGATGCTAGGTATTGAAAATGGGCCAGATTTTCAGCTCCCTGGGAAGCAGGAGTTTCACGTTGCCTTTTCTGTTCAGTGTTTTTTAAAGGCCTGCAGTTATCTTGGCCAGAGAATTTCCATTGTAAAGGTATCTATCGTGAGGTGCTGTGAAGTAGATGGGGCTTGTTAAGGCTCTTCTCTACCATCTCTCTAGGCCATGGGCTGGGCACTGGAAGGCTATGGCAGGGCTCTTGACTGCTCATAAGGACAAGAAGTGATTAGGCAGGGCTAAGGGGTTGGAAATCCTTCTGGGACAGAGTGTTCAGACTAGAGTGAGGCTAGTCCCCAGGGCAACTGTTCATTTGGCTGACCAGGGTTCTATTTAGACTTCTCTACTAGTTTGCTAGGGATGCCATTATGAAGTGCTGTGGACTGGGTGGCTTGAACAATGGAAATGTATTGCCTCACAGTTCTGGAGGCTGGAAGTCTGAGATCAAGATGTTGGCAGTGTTAGTTCCTTCAGGGCAATGAGCAAAGGATCTGTTCCAGGCCCCTGCCCTTAGCTTGTAGATGGCCACTGTCTCCCTGTGTCTTTACATTGTCTCTCCTCTGTCTGTGTCCAAATTTCCTCTTTATATAAAGACAATAGTCATATTGATTTAGGCCCACTCTGTTGCACTCCTTTTAACCTTTGTAAAGGCCCTACCTCCAAATGCTGTCACATTCTGAAGTATTGGGGGTTAAGATTTCAACATATGAATTTTGGGGGATGAGACTCAGTTCAGCCCAGAACAACAGCCATTTCACCATGGCCTTTAAGCTCATCTAGTTGAGCAATATCTCTTCTCTGCTATTTTGTCCTCAGGCATGAAAAATATTCACAGAGTTTCATTACAGAAGGGATGCAGGCTATAATAAATGAGTGATTATTACACTAAGTGATGTATAATAAACCCCATGACTGCAGGCCCCTGTTTCTTGCTTCCTTCCAAGGTTGTCTTTCTTCCTTCTAAGAACAGATGACCTCACCTTTGGATGTTTCTCGTTTGTTTTATTTTCCTCCAGGGGATGCACCTCCTACCCCACAGCCAAAGTGCGCTGACTTCCAGAGCGCCAACCTTTTTGAAGGCTCCGATCTCAAAGTCCAGTTTCTCCTCTTTGTCCCTTCGAATCCTAACTGTGGGAAGCTAGTAGAAGGAAGCAGTGACCTCCAAAACTCTGGGTTCAATGCCACTCTGGGAACCAAACTAATTATCCATGGATTCAGGTGGGAGTTAACTAACCAACAGGACCTCTCAGCTACGAATGATCAAGTAACCATAATACCATAAGAAGTTAGTGGGGAACAAGAGGAAGAATGAGTTTACCAAAGGTCACATGTTCCATCCCTCATGTCCTGCTGTCTTTGATGGGTCTCATGTCAACATGCACACATGGTGTTCATTCTTATTGGTCATGTATCGTACTTCCCCAGCCAGTCTTGTCTACACACTCACAAACAGTACATGTCTGTGACTCTGGACAAATCTCCATACACAGAGCCTTTATTACCCAGGGTTGTATTTCCCCTTCTTCACTTCTTCCCTGGTTTTATGACCTAAGAAACTTCCATTTGTGGGTGCCACTTCCATCATACCCAGAGGTTATGGGTGTGATGGAGCTATGTAGTTCTCTTCTTCAATTTCTCTGACACTCTCCAGTCCACATTTTGTTGTAATATACAGTCACTGAGTCTCAATTCCAATCACCATCCTTTCTTTGAACAGCTTTTCTCCAAAGCCCATCAATAAGCCCAGAAATAGAGAAAGGTTTATGGGAGGAAAGAGGGAGAGAATATGGTAAAGTAACAGCACCATGGAGCAAGTAGAGTTCGGGGCACCCAATGAAAAGGTAGACACAAAGGCCATGCACAAAGGACCACCATTTCCTGATCTCTGGCCTGTCTCTGCCTCTCAGATCTCTGGACTCCAAGGACTCAGCCATGTTTCCTTAGGCTTCTCTTCTTGCTTCCTTGCTCTTGTGCCAAAGCCTCTCCTCTAGCAAAGCTTACATTCGACCACTTTCCAAGGCTGAGTGTGTATCTCCAACCCAGGGATAGCTAATAGAGGTGGAGAGCTCGTCAGGGGAGGCACTCTGTCTGCTCTTAAATCTCGCTACCCCATTCTCTGGCACACACCCAGTCCGCACTCCTCTGCCCGCATGAGCGTGCTCTCTTTGCTTCTATACTGGGAGCCATCAAAAAACTTATTTCCTGATCCCAATCTGTTGGGAAAGATTTCTAAACATTTTTCTATCATTTTCCTTTTCCTGGAAAACTCCCATTATACTGTAAGCTCCAGAAGGATAGGGACGATATCTTATTTGTCTTTATTTTTTGGAAAGCACCTAGCATACTGCCTGGCCCATAGATACTCAATAAATGTTTGTTGAATAAATCGATGGGTGAATGAGAGAAAGAAACAAAGAAGGAAGGAAAAAGAAAGAAAGAGAAAGGAAGAAAAGAAAGGAAAGGAAGGGAAAGGAAAGGAAGGAAGGGAGGGAGGGAGGGGGAGAGAGAGAGAGAGAGAGAGAGAAAGAAAGAAAGAAAGAAAGAAAGAAAGAAAGAAAGAGAGAGAGAGAGAGAGAGAGAAAGAAAGAAAGAAAGAAAGAAAGAAAGAAAGAAAGAAAGAAAGAAAGAAAGAAAGAAAGAAAGAGAAAGAAAGAAGAAAAAAAGAAAATGTCCACAAAGAAAGAGCCTATATTTTAGAATGAGAATTAAGATTGCAAATCTTAACTCTAGGGCACAAAGCTATCTTTTCCTTTCCACAAATAACACAAATGGAGCGATGCAATGTATACAGTTTATGTGGTTTATGCATTGTGCAAAGGTGCCTGACAAAAGGCTGATGGGGCTGAAATCCAACCTGAATTCTGAACCCTGGCATGAGGCTGCCTCTACCTGGAACAAAAGGCAAAGTTTTATAATTTACACAAAGACTGTATATGTGCTGGCGGAAGGGCTGACAACTTTGGAATTGTGCCCTCCCTATGCTCCAAGTGCTGTGTAATAAACTCCTCTAGTTTTGACTTCTTTTCTGGGTTTGGGATTAATAGAGGTTTTACATGACAATGAATATCCACTTGGTGGGTAATTTCTCCATCCGTTTTTGGGCCCCTCTCTAGGGTTTTAGGAACAAAGCCTTCCTGGATTGATAAATTCATTAGAACTCTTCTGCGTGCAACGAATGCTAATGTGATTGTCGTGGACTGGATTTATGGGTCTACAGGGGTCTACTTCTTAGCTGTGAAAAATGTGATTAAGTTGAGCCTCAAGATCTGCCTTTTCCTCAATAAACTCTTGGTAGGTGCAGAAGAGCTTCAGGTGAGTTTGGGCTGCGTATGAGGAGAGAGGGTCAGAAAGACAAAAGCACTGCCTGAGGAGGCTTAGGGTGGAAACAGAGTCACCGGGTAGCTTGGTGGTCTTGGGTTCAAATCTTGACTTTGCCGCTCACAGTACTGACTTTAGGCAGGTTATTGAACATTCTGAGCTTCCCGCTGCTCCTCTGTAAAATGTGTCATGGCACATTGGACAGCGAATGCAGATGGCCTGGCACTTAGTTGTCCCTCAAGAGAGAATGGCCGTGGTCATTGCTCACATACTTTGGGCACCAAAAGGAGAGTGAGTGGGTTGTCAGGGTGGGAAGCCCAGGAAGAGAAGAAGTGATTAATGATGAGAGTGCTGTCCATTTTCCCTCCAAAGTAAGTGTGGTGGTTCTGTCATGCCCAGGGCCTCGGCTTCTGAAGCTTTCGGGGAAAGCCTGCCACTGCGAAGCCAGCAGACTCTGTGGCCCACGGGGAGCTCACTGCCCCTGCTCTTCTAGGTGCTGGGTGTGTCGGAATCCTCAATCCACATCATTGGTGTTAGCCTGGGGGCCCACGTTGGGGGCATGGTGGGACAGCTCTTCGGAGGCCAGCTGGGACAGATCACAGGTAACATTCATCCCTGCCCATCCTCCAGGCTTTAGAGATAGAAAAGCTTTCCCTGAAAATGTCTCTTCTAAGGCAAGCAGAGGGGAGTATGGAGCCTTTGTTCTTACAATCAAGTCACCTATTACCACTAAAATTTATTTATTGTGGTTCTTTTGTATAAAATGGTGTGTGTTATTATTGCATGATTTCTAATATCAATGTGAGAGGCCATGTATTTCTTTTTTCACTTTTTATTTTTAAATTTCTTATTTAAAAAATTTTATTTTAGATTCAGGGTTTACGTGTGCAGGTTTATTACATGGGTATAGCATGCAATGCTGAACTTTGGGCTTCTAATGATCTCGTTGCCCAAGTAGCAATCAGTACTTGATAGGCAGTTATTCCACCCTTTCCCCTTGCTTTTCCTCCTCCTTTTGGAATCCCCAGTGCCAATCGTTCCCATCTTTGTGTCCATGTGCACCCAATGTTTTGTTCCCACTTGTAAGTGAGAATATGCAGTATTTGGTTTTCTGTTTCTGCATTAATTGGCTTAGGAAAATGACCTCCAGCTACATTCATGTTGCTGCAGAGGACATAATTTCATTCTTTTTTATAGCTGTGTAGAATTCCATAGGGTATGTGGACCACAGTTTCTCTATCCAGTCTACCATTGGTGGGCACCTGGGTTGATTCCATGTCTTTGCTATTGTGAATAGTGTTGCAATGAACATACTAGTGCAGGTATCCTTTTGGTAGAAGAAATTCTTTTTGTTTGGGTATATATCTAGCAACGAGATTGCTGGGTCAAATGGTGATTTTATTTTTAGTTCTTTCAGGAATCTTCAGATTGCTTTCCACACTGGCTGAACTTATTTACATGCCCACCAACAGTGTATAACTATTCCCTTTTCTCTGCAGCCTTGCCAACATCTATTTATTTATTTTCTACTTTTTAATAGTGGCAATTCTGACTGGTGTGAGATGGTATATCATGGTGTGATGATTAGTGATGGTGAGCATTTTTTCATATGTTTGTTAGCCACTTGTATGTCTTCTTTCAAGAAGTCTCTTTTCATGTTCTTCACCCTCATTTTAATGGGGTTGTTTTTTCTTGTTGATTTGTTTGAGTTCCTTATAGATTCTGGATATTAGTCCTTTGTCAGATGCATAGTTTGTGAATATTTTCCCCCATTCTGTAGGTTGTCTGTTTACTCCATTGGTTGTTTCTTTTGCTGTGCAGAAGGTCTTTAGTTTAAGTCTCACTTGCCAATTTTTGTTTTTGTTTCATTTGCTTTTGAGGACTTGGTCATAAATGCTTTGCCTAAGGCTAATATTCAGGAGATTATTTCCCAGATTTTCTTCTAGGATTTTTATAGTTTGAGGTCTTACATTTAAGTCTTTAATCCTTCTTGAGTAAGTTTTGTATATGGTGAGAGCTATGGGTCCAGAATCATTCTCCTGCATATGGTCAGCCAGTTTTCCCACACCGTTTCTCGAATAGGGTATCTTTTTCTCTAAAAAAAAGTGTTAATTTTTGTCAACTTTGTCAAATGTCTGATGGTTATAGGTGTGCTTCTTTATTTCAGTGATCTCTATTCTGTTCCATTGGCCTATGTATCTATTTTTGTACCAGTACCATACTGTTTTGCTTACTGTAGGCTTATAGTGTAGTTTGAAATTGGGTAGTGTGATGCATCCAGCTTTATTCTTTTTGCTCAGGATTGCCTTGGCTATTTGGGCTCTTTTTTTTGTGCCATATAAATTTGAGAATAGATTTTTATAATTCTGTGAAAAATGACATTGGTAATTTGGTAGGGATTGAATCTGTAGATGGCTTTGGGCAAAATGGATATTTTAATGATATTTATTCTTCCAACCCTGCATAGAATACAGAATACTTTGGCAAATATTATGCAAAAGCATAGAATATTTTTGCATTTGTTTGTGTCACCTGTGATTTTTTTTTTTTTTTTAAGCAGGGTTTTAGAGTTCTCCTTGTACAGATCTTTCGCTCTTTTGGTTAGGTGTGCTTGTAGGTACTTTATTTTTGTGTGTGACTATCATAAATGAGATTGCATTCTTGATTTGGCTCTCAGATTGAATGTTCTTAGTGCATAGAAATGCAACTGACTTTTGTACATTGATTTTGTGTCCTGAGACTTTGCTGGAGTTGTTTTTCAGGTCTAGAAGTCTTTTGGTCAAACATTTAGGGTTCTCTTCATTGATGAAGAGAGACAATTTGACTTCCTCTTTTCCTATTTAGATGCCTTTTATTTCTTTCTCTTGCCTGATTGCTCCGGCAAGCACTTCCCCCTTCTATTTCTTTCTGAGCCTCAGTTTCTACATCTGTAAAATAGTGGTAACAGCCCACATCTCCTTGGCCCACTGTGGAAATAAACTTTACACAGTTTTGCTATATACATGTAAAAGTGTGGAGGACTTTATGCTTCCAGAGCCACTCTCAGTTAATAAGGGACTGGAGTTGTATGGCAAAAACCCTCAGCTTCCTGGCCTTTCAGTGGGACAATTCTGGGTCTTGTTTTACAGAATCTCACAGAGGCACTCCAGTGGGGTGAAAGCCCATGGGGATATCCTACTCACTACTATTTTCCTTTATTTCCTGACCTGCTTTCCCACTCCCTCACCATGCTTTCCGAGACTTTCTCCCAAATCTACCTTGAACTCTTGTGGCAGGTCTGCTTTTTGTAGGGGAAGGGAAGAGATCCAAACTGAGACATGGGAATAGTAGTATTCACAGTAATCACTGTGTTATGGTGAGGACTACAGTGTGTAAAACTGCCTGGCATAAAGCCTGGTCCATAGTTACTGCTCGAAGAAATTGTAGCTATTGCTGTTACTACATGAAGGCAGTAACAAGCTTTACATTATATTAACTTCTATCAAATAATTGGTGTTATCAAGCTCTTTTTTTTTTTTTTTTTTTGAGATGGAGTCTTGCTCTGTTGCTCAGGTTGGAGTGCAGTGGCATGATCTCGGCTCACTGCAACCTCTGCCTCCCGGGTTCATGCCATTCTCCTGCCTTAGCCTCCCTAGCAGCTAGGACTACAGGCGCCCGCCACCACGCCCGGCTAATTTTTTGTATTTTTAGTAGAGACGGGGTTTCGCCATGTGAGCCAGGATGGTCTCGATCTCCTGACCTCGTGATCTGCCAGCCTCGGCCTCACAGAGTGCTGGGATTACAGGCATTAGCCACCACGCGCAGCCTCAAGCTCATCTTAGAGCCAGAGAAACTGGGTCATTGAGAGGTTACCTCTAGAGAGACAACAGAGAGTGGGGTTTCCTGAGGAAGATGGTCCTCAGCTAATTCTCCCAACCCTTGGGTCTTTTCAGGGAGGCTCTATGATCTGCACTGGAAGTGGTGGGTGTGTGGTGGGTCCATGAATGTTCCTGCAGCTGAGAGGAAAGTGGTCCCTCATATCAGTCTCTTCTCACAGGCCTGGACCCCGCTGGACCTGAGTACACCAGCGCCAGTGTGGAGGAGCGCTTGGATGCCGGAGATGCCCTCTTCGTGGAAGCCATCCACACAGACACTGACAGTGAGCTGGGGTGACCTTCCTGGGGTGAGGGAATGAGCTCAAGGCAGCGCCTAGGAGGCTGGCATCTAGCTGTGTGACCCTGGGCAGAGATGCCCTGCCCTCTCTCTGAGATTCTGCTGCACAGTGAGGAGTTTACCAAAATGATATTGAAAGTCTCTTCCAGCTCTGTCTCTGTGACCACTGAGGTGAATGGTTGTATTTTTAGCCACCATAGGCAGGAGGATTCTCACTCACAGACCAAAAGTACTTGGTTATGAGTCTCACTTTCTGATTCAAACGAATGCAGCAACAACAGTGTGCTAAGCAGTACTGGGTAGGGCATTGCTGTCTGGCTGACTTATGGGAAAGTCATGAAGCTTTTTTAGGATGGGTGTGCCTGGTCCCAAGGGATTGGGCCCCCGCAGGCAGGCAGGCGTGTCACAACTTCCCTCCTCCCCAGATGACAAGCTTGGCCCTTCAGTCCAGTGGAGAATAAGAATCCCTCTTCTGGGCAGGGCGCTGTGGCTCACGCCT